TTGCCTTTTGCAAGGAGTATTTATACCTTAAAAGCTCATGATTGCTGTCAGTGTGGTCAGTAGGTGATCATTAGGCACAGGTAGCGTGTGCATTGATTCTGATGAGGAATGTCTTCTCTAATTAACTGCTCGGGGTCCCGAGCAATCAATGCTGAGTCGTCGGGATGCCGACGGTACAATGTGCTCCTCTCGGGGAGGATGCAATAAATGCTCTGTAATAGGAGCATTTATTGCCTTTCATTTTCGAGCCTTACCGCATTGAATGCGGTCTCATCAACGGAAGGGTGCAATTAATTGTTTGCTTTCCCAAGCCGCGTGTCAGCAACGACATGCGGTTTGTCTGTCTTTGATGTGACATTATTTGTCACGCGTCCATCCCCTATTGGCTCTGACCTCTGTATTCCAGTATGTTCTGACATTACTTGTGTAAGACGAAGTCATGATGAATAGCCTAGGCTAGTGACCTGTACGTCAATAGCTTATCCTGGAGTAGAGGAAACGTCCAGGACGGGGTACTTCTCGGCACCGAGGAAAGGCTCATCTCGGGGACCGACGGAGGTATGCCGACCGAGGTTTATATCAGGCCGAGGCCACGTGTCAGTGTAAAAATATACCGAATGTATGATTCTATATGTCGGTACCTCGGGGGCGAGGACCTTCGTGCGCCGATGGTGCTTGATCTAAGCAACAGTGCTTTAGTAAAATCGAAAACACGTGTCTTCATCATACGGTATTTCAGAAAAGTCTCATCATATACAACATAACTTCTTTATACTGTGTGTGTGTTTATGTTTTACTCTTCTTTTTTCTCCATTTCGTCCTCTGTTCATGGTTGCCACTACTACTGCGACACCACAAATCATCAAAAGCCACGACACCCCCAACGGTGGCAATGAAGTTAGCCGGAAAGAGATTCAAGCGGCCATTGCAAAAGTTGTGGAGCTCAGAGGTCTTCATGCTACTCTGATTCAGGGTAATGGCCCTGCCAATTTCAGGTTTCCCACTTCCTACCCTCCTTCCCACCGTGCGTTTTCTGCCCAAGATTACCCAATTTTTACACCAGTGAGTAGTTGTTTTCTCTTCTATTTTTCTTGTTCATAATTCAATTTCCTGAACATCTAGGATGGTTTCATCTATGTTTCTTTATATCTGGTAATTTCATTGTGATCTGTTATATGTAATGGTACATCTGAATATGTCAGGGTGAAAAGCGTGTTTAATAAACATGTTTTTCACAAAAAATCGTAAAAAAACGTGTTTACAAAACACACTTTTCTCATTGCCCAAAATTTGTTTTCTATAAAAGCAGGGTTGTTGACTTCTGTTTTTAACAATAGTGGNCAGATCTCTTCTTTGGTGAACTTCGAGTGAGACGGTTGAGTGACCTGACACGCTGCTTGGGACAGCCTGCAAGGTACGGTGGTAACCCGGAATGGCAACGGGAGACCCTGGGAAAGGAAGACCGGTCCTGTAAGGCTGAAAGAGGTTCCTGGAACAAAGAAGAACAAGTTAGAAGAGCGCTGGAGTGTTTTCAGGCGTATCCCCTCCGACAGTCTAGTTAGTCTTTGAGTGAGAGAGAGGAAGGAGAAAATACTGAAAAAAATGTATTGTAGTAGAGAGTTTGTTGTTGCATCCCCGCTTTGCCTTTTGCAAGGAGTATTTATACCTTAAAAACTCATGATTGCTGTCAGTGTGGTCAGTAGGTGATCATTAGGCACAGGTAGCGTGTGCATTGATTCTGATGAGGAATGTCTTCTCTAATTAACTGCTCGGGGTCCTGAGCAATCAATGCTGAGTCGTCGGGATGCCGACGGTACAATGTGCTCCTCTCGGGGAGGATGCAATAAATGCTCTGTAATAGGAGCATTTATTGCCTTTCATTTTCGAGCCTTACCGCATTGAATGCGGTCTCATCAACGGAAGGGTGCAATTAATTGTTTGCTTTCCCAAGCCGCGTGTCAGCAACGACATGCGGTTTGTCTGTCTTTGATGTGACATTATTTGTCACGCGTCCATCCCCTATTGGCTCTGACCTCTGTATTCCAGTATGTTCTGACATTACTTGTGTAAGACGAAGTCATGATGAATAGCCTAGGCTAGTGACCTGTACGTCAATAGCTTATCCTGGAGTAGAGGAAACGTCCAGGACGGGGTACTTCTCGGCACCGAGGAAAGGCTCATCTCGGGGACCGACGGAGGTATGCCGACCGAGGTTTATATCAGGCCGAGGCCACGTGTCAGTGTAAAAATATACCGAATGTATGATTCTATATGTCGGTACCTCGGGGGCGAGGACCTTCGTGCGCCGATGGTGCTTGATCTAAGCAACAGTGCTTTAGTAAAATCGAAAACACGTGTCTTCATCATACGGTATTTCAGAAAAGTCTCATCATATACAACATAACTTCTTTATACTGTGTGTGTGTTTATGTTTTACTCTTCTTTTTTCTCCATTTCGTCCTCTGTTCATGGTTGCCACTACTACTGCGACACCACAAATCATCAAAAGCCACGACACCCCCAACGGTGGCAATGAAGTTAGCCGGAAAGAGATTCAAGCGGCCATTGCAAAAGTTGTGGAGCTCAGAGGTCTTCATGCTACTCTGATTCAGGGTAATGGCCCTGCCAATTTCAGGTTTCCCACTTCCTACCCTCCTTCCCACCGTGCGTTTTCTGCCCAAGATTACCCAATTTTTACACCAGTGAGTAGTTGTTTTCTCTTCTATTTTTCTTGTTCATAATTCAATTTCCTGAACATCTAGGATGGTTTCATCTATGTTTCTTTATATCTGGTAATTTCATTGTGATCTGTTATATGTAATGGTACATCTGAATATGTCAGGGTGAAAAGCGTGTTTAATAAACATGTTTTTAACAAAAAATCGTAAAAAAACGTGTTTACAAAACACACTTTTCTCATTGCCCAAAATTTGTTTTCTATAAAAGCAGGGTTGTTGACTTCTGTTTTTAACAAAAGTGGAGTTGTTAAATCATCTTTTTAACAAAAAACGGAGTTGTTAGATTCGCTTTTTAACAAAAATAGAGTTATTAAATTTGTTTTTAAAAAATATCATATTTTAGTAAATAAATTCAAGAATACCGTATTTTGATATTAAAGTCCCAAAATAATTGTATTTTGATAATAGATTCCTCTCTCGTCTCCCTAAACGGTGCACCAAGTATGTTTCTCTATCTCTCTTTTTCTGGCTATGGGACCTTTTTTTAGTTTAATTTTTTTTACAAACAAAAATAGTAGTGTTCTGTCTCTCAATGTGTATAATTTATCGGCGATGGACGTTTTCCGGCAAATGGTTTTGTGTAATTGTTTTTATTAAAACAAAGGTAAAAATTTGTACTTTTGTTGTCGCCATCTCTCCCTCCCCCCTCTCTCTCTTTGTCTTTCTCTCGGAACCCTATTTCCCTCAATTGAAACCCCTATCAAGCCATCTCTCTCATTTACACAAACACACAACAATGCCCACCGTCGCAGCCATTGAACTTAACCCACCAAAGATACCTCCACCGATCATAGCAAATCCTCTTCGGCTCTACCACTTATGCTTTAGATCTTCATTTCAAACCCAAATGGTGGAGTAGCTTCTGATAAAGACGAGATCGAGTATGTCCGTCAGAAACCTCTTGACCGATGATTCTCTCCCTCCCTCCCTTTGCATCTCTGGTTGTTCATCTTCCTCTCACACTCTTCTGTGTTTCAATTTCTACATTGCTAGAACTTCCCAACCCACCATCGCCCATTGATTCAGCCAAGAACGCACACATATGTTGGATATTGGTCAAAATTATGAGTCATTTATATTGTGTAGTTTGTTGTTAATTTGTTAGGTTTTGAGGCTTTTTGATTTTGGTAAAGTCACCAAAAATTATATTGAAATTGATTGTTTAATGAGAATCAACTGATTCTCAGGTTCTGTAATAGCATAGTATTTTTTAAGATACAATGCCTTCATATTAAGTTGTAAATTTTCTCTCTGTGTAATTTTAGCTATTGCATTTATTTTTTAATATCTTTTGTTAATTAATTTTAATACAATATTTTAGATTGATCAAATATATTTGAGATCCATTTTTAAAATTTTTTTTGCTTGGAATGCAAAAAAAATTATGTTTTACAATAACTAACTAGTGATGAATTTTAAATTTAATATCAAAGTGGTAAACAAGAATTGTCAAGTCAAATATGATATAGGTTTAGATAAGATTCGAGGGTAAGATAGTAAATTAATGTCGAAATTATGTGATTTGAGTGAAAAAAAAAAAGTTGTTTGTGGGGCCCACACTATTTTAAATTATAATCTAAATCAAGGATTGGATAAATTCAAATTTTTTAATCCAACATTTTAACCGGCTTGTTAAGATTTCGTTAGATATGTTTGAGATTTAAATCTAAACCGGTCTAAATTTTGGCCCTCGGACAAGAGAGATTGTACATGACTGGCTCTAAAAGTCCATCCAAACGAAGTACATGCCATTGCCTTGGGGCTTGGACNAAGTGGAGTTGTTAAATCATCTTTTTAACAAAAAACGGAGTTGTTAGATTCGCTTTTTAACAAAAATAGAGTTATTAAATTTGTTTTTAAAAAATATCATATTTTAGTAAATAAATTCAAGAATACCGTATTTTGATATTAAAGTCCCAAAATAATTGTATTTTGATAATAGATTCCTCTCTCGTCTCCCTAAACGGTGCACCAAGTATGTTTCTCTATCTCTCTTTTTCTGGCTATGGGACCTTTTTTTAGTTTAATTTTTTTTACAAACAAAAATAGTAGTGTTCTGTCTCTCAATGTGTATAATTTATCGGCGATGGACGTTTTCCGGCAAATGGTTTTGTGTAATTGTTTTTATTAAAACAAAGGTAAAAATTTGTACTTTTGTTGTCGCCATCTCTCCCTCCCCCCTCTCTCTCTTTGTCTTTCTCTCGGAACCCTATTTCCCTCAATTGAAACCCCTATCAAGCCATCTCTCTCATTTACACAAACACACAACAATGCCCACCGTCGCAGACATTGAACTTAACCCACCAAAGATACCTCCACCGATCATAGCAAATCCTCTTCGGCTCTACCACTTATGCTTTAGATCTTCATTTCAAACCCAAATGGTGGAGTAGCTTCTGATAAAGACGAGATCGAGTATGTCCGTCAGAAACCTCTTGACCGATGATTCTCTCCCTCCCTCCCTTTGCATCTCTGGTTGTTCATCTTCCTCTCACACTCTTCTGTGTTTCAATTTCTACATTGCTAGAACTTCCCAACCCACCATCGCCCATTGATTCAGCCAAGAACGCACACATATGTTGGATATTGGTCAAAATTATGAGTCATTTATATTGTGTAGTTTGTTGTTAATTTGTTAGGTTTTGAGGCTTTTTGATTTTGGTAAAGTCACCAAAAATTATATTGAAATTGATTGTTTAATGAGAATCAACTGATTCTCAGGTTCTGTAATAGCATAGTATTTTTTAAGATACAATGCCTTCATATTAAGTTGTAAATTTTCTCTCTGTGTAATTTTAGCTATTGCATTTATTTTTTAATATCTTTTGTTAATTAATTTTAATACAATATTTTAGATTGATCAAATATATTTGAGATCCATTTTTAAAATTTTTTTTGCTTGGAATGCAAAAAAAATTATGTTTTACAATAACTAACTAGTGATGAATTTTAAATTTAATATCAAAGTGGTAAACAATAATTGTCAAGTCAAATATGATATAGGTTTAGATAAGATTCANTACTAAATGCCTTGTACTCGATGTGGGCCAACAATTTGGTTTATTGCATATATTGTAAGCCCATTTTTCCTACTTGCAAGGTGGTGCCAAATTTTCCTTCTCCTGCCTTATTTACATGCTTAATTGAAATTGAAGAATAACTTAAACCACCCAATTTACCAATTGCAAGGCCATCATGAGGTTCAAAAGACAGTTTTTGGACGGTACCTAAGTATTGTCGTGAGAGGCGAAAGGGCTGACATGGACCTGCTGGCGAAGAACAGAGGCAACGTGATGCTATGTCACGTAATAAGGAGGAGAAGAGAAACATGGAGGTGTATGCTCCTTTCACTTTCCTTTAATTACCTTCCTTCCACTATTTGTACTAATTCCAATTGAAACTTTCTATGTCGATTTTATTGAGCACTCAAAACATTGGGTGAATATTTATATATATATATATATACNAATCAAGGACCGGATAAATTCATTTTAACCGGCTTGTTAAGATTTCGTTAGATATGTTTGAGATTTAAATCTAAACCAGTCTAAATTTTGGCCCTCGGACAAGAGAGATTGTAGACTGGCTCTAAAAGTCCATCCAAACGAAGTACATGCCATTGCCTTGGGGCTTGGACTATCTTATCCAGCTCAAACCCATGCAACAAACATGATGTAAAAATCAAGAAATGTGTCTTGAAAAGATTCTCCATTATAAAAGAAGCCCCCAAAAAAAAAAATTAGAAAATTTAGGGGTGTAATTTAGGCGGGCTAACCCGATTTCAATCTAGTCCAAATCGAAAAAATTAGAGTTTACATTAGAGTTTTTAATACTTGAATTGGGCTTGAGTCAAAAAATCTCAACCAGAATTCAATTTGGGTGGACTTGGGATTGAGTCATCGGGTTCATGGGTTGAACCCGAATTAATCCTATATAAATACAATTTTATCCTAGGGTTAATCTCAACTCAAGTGTGCGCCTCCCTCAGACTCTTACTCACTATCAGGCTCTCTCAAGGATTTTGGTTGTACATAGATTTTGTTTAAATAGTGAACTTTATGTTTATGCAAGGATTCTGGTTGTGTTTATTTGTGTTCTGTATGATTGTGGTTGCATTATCTCAAATATTGAGTTTTTAATATTATAGTTTTTATGTTAAAAACTTGATTGAAGTAACCCAAAATCATTAATTCGAATTCAACCTGAGCCCGCCCGAATTAAACTCGAGCAGTGCTCGGGTTGAGTTTCTCAACCAGAAGTAGGGTTAGGGTTAGGGATAGAGTTAAAGATTATATAATTAGAGTTTGGTTAGGGTTGACTGCGCAACCCGCCCGAGTTGCACCCTAGGAAAACTAACACGGTGAATGGGAATTTATAAACTAAAATTGTTAACAGGAATTTTAATTTTTTTTTTTTTACAAAATTACCCTTAAGATTTTTTCTATGTATTGTACATCAGATGAATATCATAATAATATTTTAATCGTATATCTAATTAACTGTGGATTCATGCTTCATATTAACTTAACAAATATAAAATGACCCAATCCTATTGCCGTTAGCTATTATTTACATTCTCATAGTCAATTATTATCATTCTTTGTTGGTTTTGGAGAGGTAGAGAGAGGGGGAGACAGAGAGATCAAAGATAAGCGGTAGTTTCACATACCTTTCAATAAAGCATGGCCTATCATCACTGAGCTATTAATGCAATTAGCAAAAAAATTGTGAAATTCACCCCCTTTTCGTTGGGAGATGTGTGTATACAAAATTCATGTGCATTTGTAAATAGATAAATTTCACGATAAAAAAGTTGGGCAACAATGCGCTCTCTCGCAAGAGACCTTTCACAAGTCAATAATTTGTTTTGTAATGGGCGTATTGATTGAGGGATGTATAGTTGTTAATGGGCCTGTTACAATGCAAGATTTGATGGTGCTGAAGGAGAATGTGGAGATTTATGGAATTGGGGATTGTGAGGCCCTGATTGGGGGGATTAAAGGGGCAGAGTCCGAGTAGTGGAAAGCAAAAGCAACTGATTTTGAGGCAGCAGATGGAGAGGCTTTGCTTCAGGGGGGACGCCTACTGGAAGTGGTCGTGGTGGACAAGGGAATGTGGAAGGTGGTGGATAGGAAGATGGGGATTATGACATTATCAGTTAAGTAGCAGCAACAGCAACAACAACAGAGTACGACGTATACATCTTTTCTTAGGAATGCTTAGTCATAGTGGATTTCAAAGTGCATACTAATCCTAGTGATCAGGAACTCAGGTTTTTGTTGCCTAAAGCCCCCTTTTTTAATGGGTTAGGGGGTTGCAAGTACAATTTTTTTTTAAACTCATGCAATAGATGTTTTACCCTCCTAAGAATGCCATTTATCTTTAATTTTTGAGCTATCTAGATTTCTATGCCTTCAATGAAGATCATCAATATATGGTTCATAGGGTGGTGTACCTAAAATCTGTTACGACTCAGTTTTCTGGTGGCATCTCTTTGTTGCATTTTTATGAGTCTTCACAAATCAAATGGAGTTTGATGCTCTAATCTTAGCATTTTCCTATATTGAGTATGGCATATGAAAGGCATGCTATGGGGGGGCATGCATCTCCGCCTTTTATCGGAGTTTTAATTTGTCATTTGTTAATGTTTTTTGTTCAATGTGATCACAAGGTGAAATGGATTTTGAATTGAAATCGGTATTCAAATATAAATATAGGCATGGGCTATGTTTTGTGGACATTATCTTGTAGTCTGCTGCAGTTCAAGAGACGTTGTATTTATGTTTATGATGAGAAGTTATGGCGAACTCTTGAAAGGAGCTTCCTTGGCAACCGCAAAAGGGTTGGGAGAGATGTGCAGGATGAATTCATCCATGGCACATGAGGATATAACAGCTTTGAATGTAAGCCATTTTGACTTTGGTGATTACTGCTGTGTTTCAAACTTATTTCATTTAGATAGTTATATCTCACATTGTCCTCTTACTTAACAGTTTCTAACCCTCAATTTTAACTTAGTATTCCCATAGGGATGCTGAATACAGCTTTACTGGGGTGTGAAGAAACAATGTTAATGACGTTACTGATTAGTTTTTAGACTCATAAATTGTTTTACATTCTTCCCTTCCGATTTCCTTCCTCTGTTTCCTTTTGGAGCTTGGGTTGGGGGCGGCGGGGTGTGGCCGTAAGTGGTGTTTGAAGGGTATGAAAAGTGTACAGGAATTTTGCCCTGCTTGCATAGAACGTTGTTCCTCAACATGTGGAGATTAGGTAAGCAGTATTNATGTCATCCTACTGGAAGAGCTGGTTTACATTGCAATATATTACTTTATTAGTTTTGCTTGTAAGAAATGATAAACCCAAGTGGTACATGATTAATGATTTGCTTGCTTGAGAGTCTGAGACCCTGACCTCTGTGTGTGTGCGTGTGCAATGTAACAAATTGGCTTGGAAATTTGAAATTATTTGCAGTTGGGGTCTCCATCGCTGCTGCAGCCATTAATAATTTCTTCGACGAGCTTTTTTTATTTGCGCAAGCCAAGATGACAAGAACCATGGAGCCACATTTAGCTTGCTACGACCCAATCTCTCTCCCTCTTTCTCACTCACTCACTCACTCACACACACACACACACAAATGTTGGTTCATCACTTATGATAGATATAGTTAGTGGATGTCAATATGAAGGTCCTCAGGACAGCTTTGGCAAAAATGGGGGCCTCGATGGCTGAGAGTTGGGTGCATAAGGTTTGGGTCCAGTAGATAAAACCTACCCGACTCTATGCATCGCTGCATCAAAGTGAAAGGGAGAACCGACCTGACTCCAGACTCCAGAGTAATGCAGCATGGGTTGCGTCTTCAATTTTTTCTCCTTTATTTTTCCCCGAAAACCAACATAACCGTTTATGTCCCGGAATAACTTCGATGAATTGCACATTTATGAGCATTGGCAATGCACGACACCTAAATAAATTTAAATAATAATTTTTATAAAAAAGGTGAATTATATATATAATTAAATTAAATAATAAATTTGATGTCAAATAATTAATATGTATTTTAATTATTATTAAATTTAATTATTGGTTTATTCTATAAGTCTTTAAATATTTTTTTTGAGTACTTAATCTGTCATTTGTTTTAGGCATTTGCATAACTATTTATATTATAGGATTATTAATTTTTATTTTGTTAAATAGATTGATTAGATTATTTACAATATTATTGTATACTAAAAAATAAAATATAACATATATTTGACTGTGGAATTCAATCTGATAATTACATGTATATAATAACTTAATATGTATGTGATTTGACTTATTCATATAGATATCTAAGATTGTATATAAATGTACTACTAATAAATGAGTTCAAAAGAATTTAGAAGTTTTAATAAAAGAGTTTAAAAAAAATTCATAGCCAAATAAGAATAAAAAATAAAAATTAGATAAAAATATTATATGTGTGTAAAATTGACTTTATTATAATAATTAAAGATTAAAAAAAAATTGAAAAATTTTGACATTTATAAAGAGTATAGCGAGATATAGATATATAGATTTAGATTTGGAAAAAAAATTTCTTAATCTTCTAGATACCTATGAATGAAAGTTCAGGTTCTACTCTTTTACTGGTCAATTTCTTTGGTCCAATGTTACTTGGATTTGGACATAAACATTACTCTTTTTTGGGCAAAATTCAGTTTACTCCCTTATGATTTGGGTGTTTTGCATATAATCCCTCTATGATTTGGAAATAAGCACATTACCCTCTTGTGCTTTTGGACTAAAATGCTACCGTTAATTTTTCCGTTAGATTAAACCATCTGTGACACACACGCGCCTAAAAGGAGATTTGACATAACAAAACTTTTTTCCTTCAAAAATAGACACAATAAAAGTACAATAATATCTTTTTTTAATCTTCATCTTCTTGACCAATTGACTATTATATTTTTTCTCAAACAATTCACTCCAAGCACCGTCTCCTTATCAAAATTTTTAACAACAAAATTTTAAAAATTAAAATTAAGTGGATGATTCTTAACTATGCACGACTCAAGTGAAATTCATCTTACCACTCAAACCATAGGAATAACTAATTGCTAGAGGTTTAATAATCATGGTGGGATCGTCTTTATGAGCAGGAAAGGGTGTGGCTTTAATGCCATCGTTGGTCGCGATGAGGAGAGCCTGGAAAGAGTGGGTTTAAGCAAAGAGGAGAGGGCAAGGGAGGAAGGGAAGGAATGAGATGGAGATATACCTAGAAGGGCTGTGTGGCGGTGGGTTGCCAATAGTGGCAGAAAGGTGGTGAGAGAAAGGGGCAATGAGGTTGCCACTTAGAGAAAAAGAGACGGGAAAGGGGGTTGCTGATGGAGAGAGATGATGAAGAAGAGAGAAAGGGGGCAGTGACATTGCTGAGTCAGAGAGAGAGTGAGAGAAAGGCAGCAAATTGTATAGTGAGAGAAAATCAAAATCTTTGTTTAAGCTTGAAACTTGAATTTTTGGGTATTCAAAATTTTGAGTTTCAGAGATGAAAGGTGGGCCTAATCCACCATTTTTAGTGTCAAGGAATCCATTTTTGAAGTTAGAATCAAGAAAGAATGAGGTTTGTTGGGTGAAAAATTGAATTAAAAATCTTAACAAATTTTAAAAATGATGAACCCGTCACTTTGGAGCTCGATTTTTACTTACCTTGTGCATGATTTGGACAAACTAAACACATAGATGGAAAGAGGGTAGAAAGAAGTTAAATTTAGGCATTTAAATCACCCAAAACGGTTGAGAAACGAGAGAGAAATTAAGGTCAAAGTTGACTCAAATGTTGAAAAAAATCTGGAATATACATAACTTGTCAAAATGAGTTTGTAATCACCTTTGAGCTTAAATTCGTGGGTTATGGGGGCTATTTAAGGAAACAAGTCCGTGGGGTTTAAAACTAGGTTGAGAGTGGAGGATATTGACATTAGTTTGAGGAAGTTTAGTACTTTGTGAAGAGAGAAAAAAAAAACTTGTAAAGTTGGATAATTGGTTGATTTTTTAGAAAGTTAGGCTATAGTTGAGAGGGAGGAAGAAAATGATGAATAGTTGAGGGTACTAAAGTCATTTTATCACTTCTGTTTACGGTATTAATTGTGCATATCGGTCCACAAGTATAAGGGGATAATGTACTGATTTCTAAATTATAGAGGGATCATGTGCAAAATATCCAAACCATAAATGGATAAACTGAATTTTGCCCCTCTTTTTTATATAATAATAATAATATCTATCTCAGCTGATAGGCACAGCTGCTATAAGGACTTCTCACGCGGGGTTTGAATTAGCCGCCTAGTACATATATTTGTTCGGTACTGTTATGTTGATCAAATTTTGAGGTCAAATTAAGAGTTTAAATGACATGACAGTTTATTATTTAGAGTCTTTATTAAGGCTCAAATGACATTATACTAAATAAAAAAATCTAAATCAATTATCATGTTATTTGAACCCTTAATTTAGTTCCAAAATTTAAGTGTAGTGTTATTGACGTTTCTTTCGCACTTGAAATGGTCTTATTTGACCATGGAAATTCAGATTCCACGTTTTATATACATTCTCATCACCCTTGGCCACACGGCACTCAAGTCAGTATAATTATGTTGAATAAGCCGGCCGGAGACACCCAACCCCATTTATTTATTACTACTACTAGCATTTATCTCTCCAATGCCAATCTGCACTGCACATTCATCCTATTCCTACACATAAAGCTAAGTCTGTCAAGAGAGGAAAGTGTATTGGGGACTAGACTACATTGATCTTTCTGCCTTTTCGGTTTACTCTACTTCTGGAATGAGGTCTAAAGCCCTGGTGTTCCTTCTTTTTGCCCTTGCCATTGTGAATGTGAAATGCAATCAAGAAGGTGCGTATGAATGGTAATTAACTTGACCCAAATCACCTTGATTTTAGCACTTGTGGAGGGAGACTTATTATTAGTCTCAGCTCTTATGAACTATGATCATCATCTGTTTGTTTTGTTGAACAGGGGATGCTCTAAATGCCTGGAAGACCAAATTAGTGGACCCAAACAATGTCCTCCAGAGCTGGGATCCAACATTAGTCAATCCATGCACCTGGTTTCACGTCACTTGCAACAGCAACAACAGCATCACAAGAGTGTATGTGTCTTGTTTCCCAAACTGATCTACTAATTAGGACCAGTACACTACTCACTGTCACTCAGTGTATACCGTAATTAATTTTCTCAATTACCCTAGCTTCTGTTGCTCTCTATATATCCTGCTATCTGAAACATGATATATCTGGTTTGAAGGGACCTTGGCGATGCCGGACTCTCAGGACCTCTTGTACCTCAGCTTGGACTCTTGCCCAACCTTCAATATTTGTAAGACACTTTTACTGCATCCAATCTTCTCTGTACAAGATAAAGTGTTTTTATATATACATCAGCCATGTGTTGAAGGATTGAAAAGATGGAACTCATTGCTTGACTCTTGCATTGTTTAAGACAAGATAATATGAATATATTGCTATTGGACTGGCAGGGAAGTATTCAGTAATAAGCTTAGTGGATCCATTCCGAGCCAGTTAGCTAACTTAACGGCACTCATCAGCTTGGATCTGTACCAGAACCAACTCAGTGGTTCCATCCCACCAGCTCTTGGCAACTTGAGGTCCTTAAGATATTTGTAAGGATATTTTCTTTGACTTGCAAATGTTCAAAATATGAAGTCTATATATATATATATATATATATATTTTAGGCATAAGCTAATTCATGTATTATATATTTGATATTATTGCAGGAGATTGAACAGCAATCAGCTAAGTGGCGTGATACCACTCCAAGTCATTCAACTGATTTACTGGGGCAATTTGAGAATTATGTAAGCTACCTATTGAGCATTTTGATTTTGTCAAAGATAATGAATCCCAATTAAGCTAGGCACATTTCATTCCTCATAGATTTTTGAGAAATTAACCTCATGATAGGAGTTATCCTGTTTGATTTTTTTCATTTTTGTCTGAATTCCTTTCCTTTGTCGTCTCGAGGAAAAAGCAAGGATTTTTGTAACTATTTCACCTGTATTTATCCAACTTATGCATATGATATGTATATACACCATCAGAAGTCCCCTAGTGCATGCATGCATGCATTCATTGAAAACTGCATCAATTTCTGCAAAATAATTACATTAATTCTTTGAGAATTCGTTTCATTCATTGGTTTTTGTTATTTTATCAGGAATGTATCGGATAATCAATTGGCAGGGACAGTACATCACCATAATAAAACAGGTAACTATCAAATTAAACAACTGCTCCTCCATCTATGCGCCAAACACATGTTCATAAGTAGCCACCTGTATATAGTAATGAAAATAAATATACAGTTTAGTTTCTCAACTGACTTATTGTTCTGTTTTTGAAGGATTTGCAGTTACAAAAATCATACAAGATGCAAAGGCTTGAAAGCAAATGAAATGCTAGATATGGTTCCTGTGGCTACTTCAATGTAACTGAATAAAAATGATGATTTTATTTTAAGTGCTGCATCTTCATGTGTGGCAAATGTAGATGAAAGCACAATCATTCAGTTGAATATGTCTTTATGGGCTTACAAACCCACTATTACAAATTATATATGTATGGTTTGGACTCATGGTTAGCTCTGAATAGTTAGGCCTCGGCTGCGACAAAACTCTTCAATCATTCACCTTATTTCTTGGTCTAATTCACTATATTTTTTGAATTAACAATAAACTTCAATATGAGATGAGTGTCAATTCATTGAGCATATTAGATCACAACATTAAATCTGAACAATAATATTAATATAATTTCAAAATTGACATGAAAAGCCATGGGAACGTGTTGGCTTTATTATGGGCATATAGGCTACTAAATGTTTTTTGAAGCCAAAAAATCCTTTTGCCCATTGTTCTTCCTTTATACGAACCAATAACGAAATCTTGGTCACCTTTACTTAGAGATTTAAACATTTTTTAATTTTTTTTTTTTTTACTTTCAATCAATGGTAGATCGACAATTATATATACTAAGAGTCCTAATTAAATTTATTAAAGAATTCAATGGGAGTTTATTATAGTCATTTGGATGATTATATGTACAATTTGACTATTGGTTCGTTCTACGCTGATTTCCAATACGTGAGACCAAAGCTCTTGCGCCGAGTTATTTTTCCTTCCAACCCAACTCTTCTCTCTCTTTTCACTCCCTTTCTCAATCTCTGCCTCTCCCTCTCTTTGAATTTCATGTTAAAAAAAAAATATATATATATATATATATATATATATACTAGTCATAACTAGTGTCTAAAAGTACAATGAAATATAAGATTTTAACGTTCAAAAAATTGATCTCACTATGCCAAATTTAAAATTAATTTTTTTACTTACATTATTTAAAATTAATTTATATATATTATTTTTTTAAAAGTAACATCAAAATTTTCTCAAAATACATAACTCGATAATTTTTTTTTTTAATATGTGGATACTATGATATATGGATAATATATGAAATAAAAGTTGTGTTAAACTAGAAATTAACCAAATATTGAATTATTGAACATGTGATAGAATTGGGGTGATGTAATGTTTTTTTGGGGGAAAAAATGCATGGGGAATAAAGATTCAACTTGCTAATTAATTTATTTTATAGATATATGTATACATACACATAACAAAGGAAGTGAAACTAAGGGAGGGATGAATGTCCTCTGCTGACTAGTGGGAGATAATTGTCTGTTTTTTTACTCTTTCAAGAGATAAGATGAGTCCCTCGAAAAATACGTAAGCCCATAGTATATTGATTGTCACACACTCTCTCATAATCTAAATTTGAATAACAAGTTAGAGTATCTGTCTGAAACCCTGATACATAAAACAACTCAAGTCTAAGACAAGACTTGAGGTACCAAAAGATATAATAAACTGCATCCATATGGGTCTGACACAGTTTGTGCATGAATTGACTAACTCGACTGATAACAAATGAAATATTTAGCCTAGTGTTGGCTAGATAGATGAGTCTACCTGTCAATCTCAGATAGACAGTCAAATCTCTCAATTCCTCACCTTCAGTATTCAGTTTCAGGTTTGGAATTATGAGTGATGATGTCGGTTTGCAATCCAACATCCCAATGTCTGATAGAAGATTCAGATCGTACTTCCTCTGAGAAAGAACAATGCCCCTCCTGCTACGGGCAATTTTAATCTCAAGAAAGTATCGTAGAAATTCAAGATCCTTCACATCAAAGACCTTCTCAAGGTCATCCTTGACCTGTGTAGTTTCAGAAACGTCATTTTCAGTAATAATAATAGCATCCACATATATCAAAAGAATGACACACTGCCCAAAAATATTCCGTCGAGTGAAATATGTATGGACCCAAAAGATCTCTTCTAAATGAGTAATTCAAGTATTAATGTAGGGACCCAAAAGAAATAAGAAGAGATATAAAAGCCCAAATCACAATTACCTATTCAGCATATTGCATTTCAAGTAAGAAGTACACTTCTCCACCCCGTTGCTTTACCACCTAGCTGCTTCTGAATCCCTATCCTAGGTTAGGCATGATAAACAAAGAGGATAAGATCAGAATATTTGTGAGTAAATAGCATCTGAAGCACACTAGACACACATAGCTCGGAGGGAAAGACGTCCATATGTTTAAACCACCTAAGAAAGAACTACTTAATATTTCTCACTTGAAGCGTAGAAAGCTAACTCCTGTGCGAGTTCATTTCCATGTATTATATCGAGTCTTGTTGGGCATTCCCTATTACCCCTCCCCTCCAAAAAAAAAAAAAACCCCCAAACAAAGACAAATAACATTCCTAGGTAGAATGTATTAAACGAACTAATATCTCAGATAGGGATAGGGAGAATAGCCCTGATAATTTCCTTAGAGTTTATGATACATCATGAAGTCATTGTTGGTGTTCCTCCTTGTTAAGGAAAGTGCTAAAGACCCAATAGACACCAGCTCTTGCTAAAGCTGTCATTCACTATTACAGCAGTGATCGGTGTCCTGTCATGCACAACGACTGGTATTGCAAGATTATAGGAGCGAATGTCCAGAGATAGGAAGTACGAACACGGATATGAGTGTCGTATTTGATACGATACAGATACAAAAATATGACAAAATTTTAAAATATAGGACACATGTACGACTAAAATACGATTAATTAAAATAATATAATATTTTTTATATATATAATAACATTAATAAAAAAATTGTGAAATTAATTAATATTTTATAACTAGATAAATGAGTTAATATTAAATTTAATAAGTGGGCTATATGTTATGAAGGGTGAATTGGGGGGAGCTAAACATAATGGGTTGTGGGCTGGACTAATAAGAAGTCTAATTGTTTGGGGACACCACACCACACCACCATAAGGAAGAGAGAGAGAGAGGGAGAGAGCCGATCACACCAAGCCGATCTATGAGAGATCTGATGGTATCGAGCCTCCAGAAGCATCAAGAAGAAGAATCCCAATGTACCCTTGTCTAATCTTAGGTCTGTGGCGAATTGTATAAGTAGATGAAGATTGACATATGTGGTTGATCTCAGGTCTATAATGTCTTCTACCCCTCTATTTTTTTAGGTGTCGATTTGTAACCGTGTCACCCTGTATCCGAGCCGTATCCGTACACAAAATCATCTTGATCACTGTTCAGGACACTTGTGAAAGTGTCGGACATATGTCCGACCGTGTCCAATGAGTATCCGTGTCTGACACCGTCACAGCGACCTTTGGTGGAGTATCTGTACTTCTTAGGTCTAGACTTACGGGAGGAATTGATTTGTAATTAGAAGAGATTGATTTGTATTCTACATTGATACATTTTCCTATAAAAAGCTTAGCTCTCTCCACTGATTTAACAAGAGAGAAACACCAATCTATTCTCCTTCTCTTTATGATATCAGAGCTCTATGATGACCATTGTCTTTTTTTTTTCTCTCCTCTCAAATGGCTTGCACAACCTCTCAAATGGTTTTCGCAACCTCTCAAATGGCATCCACAAGCTCTTCTATCCTTTCGTTCTCTACTCCCTCCACAATTGCAAACATTTAGAGCTTAGTAACTCTTTTTCGTTGATTTTAAAGAGCAGGGATTTGGAAAAAAATGTAAAAAAGAAAAAATAAATCTCCAACATGAAGGCAAAATCCATTCAGGTGCAAAATAGAATCCAATATGCCATGGTCGGCTCAACAATGGATTGGAAAAAGCATGAGCTTTAGTCAAACTGAAATCCAATGTTCCATATTGCTATTTTTTTGGTTGAGCATATTATTATTTTTGTTAAACATATTATTATTTTTGTTGAATATGCTATTATTATTATTTTTTAAAAATATTAATATTGAATGTTACTATTTTTTTATGTTTAAATGTTACTATTTTTTTTGTGTTTAAATTATAACTTTTTTTTGTATATATATATATAATAAGATAGGTAGGTGTTTGAACTTATGAGGGTATATTTTTCTCACCAAATTTTACACACCCATCACATACTTTCCCTCCCAAATTTCACAAACTCAACACAAATACTCCATAACACATAATTACACATACTTCAATACACACTCACACATTATATATACACTCCAGTTGTATACACACTCTAATACACGCATAGTATCATAGTTTAATATTCAGTGACTTCAGTCACGGGGTATCGTTAGTATATATATATGAGACATACATAGCTTAGTAACTCTTTTTCGTTGATTTTAAAGAGTAGGGATTTGGAAAAAAATGTAAAAAATAAAAAATAAATCTCCAACATGAAAGCAAAATCCATTCAGGTGCAAAATAGAATCCAATATGCCATGGTCGGCTCAACAATGGAGTGGAAAAAGCATGAGTTTTAGTCAAACTGAAATCCAATGTATATTTTTTTTGTTGAGCATATTATTATTTTTGTTAAACATATTACTATTTTTGTTGAATATGCTATTATTATTATTTTTTAAAAATATTAATATTGAATGTTACTATTTTTTTATGTTTAAATGTTATAATTTTTTTTGTGTTTAAATGATATTATTTTCTTGTGTTTAAATTATAACTTTTTTTTGTATATATATATATATATATAATAAGATAGGTAGGTGTTTGAACTTATAGGGGTATATTTTTCCCACCAAATTTCACACACCCATCACATACTTTTCCTCCTAAATTTCACAAACTCAACACAAATACTTCATAACACATAATTACACATACTCCAATACACACTCACACATTATATATACACTCCAGTTGTATACACACTCACACATTATATATACACTCCAGTTGTATACACACTCTAATACACGCATAGTATCATAGTTTAATATTTAGTGACTTCAGTCACGGGGTATCGNCGGCTCAACAATGGATTGGAAAAAGCATGAGCTTTAGTCAAACTGAAATCCAATGTTCCATATTGCTATTTTTTTTGTTGAGCATATTATTATTTTTGTTAAACATATTATTATTTTTGTTG